AGTGTTTATCTTTGCGCAGGACTTCCCGTCATTTCAAATATTTGTTGGTTCATAGTCGCAAGACCCTCCCAAGGATTCCTTTCAGTCAAATCTTTATTTAAGGTTTACTTGCTATAACTGAGAATTGTTTGAGAGAGCGCTAGGTCTAGAGAATAATCTTCAAACCCCCCTTCAAATGGTCTTTAAAATTTGGACGCCCTATCACACTCGAGTGCCTTGAAGGTTAGTAATCAAACTTAGTGAATCAACTTTTAGTTTATTTTAGTTCAGAGTTGAGCAAACACTGAAAGTGTTGGAAAAGCTATCTTCCGTTAAGCTGATCTTCCATTTCTCAACTCAAAAGTTAGCATGAGACCAAGTTTTTAAATGGCAGGCGCAATTTTGTATATCAAAGAAAGACCTCTCAAGCAATGAGCGGAGTTTGGTTAGAAACTTGGGAAAGTGCATAAGGCGTTTGACAAAATTACGAAAATTTACGCAACAAGCTGATGTAGGCCTTGTCACATAGTGCTATATGAGGCGGTTAGCACATTGAAAGTCGCCATCGGTAACCTGACCGAAAGTTCAACAAACTCAAAAGCAGAACGGTTTCAAGTTTGTCCGTATGTTTTCAAGCTCTCACTTGGTAAATTTAGAGGTACGCGTTGATCGAGTGAGCTTGGAAATCAATGAATTTGGACTAGTCGTACCTTTATATTGAAAGTATTACCCTAAACTTTCATAATGATGCAGAAGACACGAGACGCAAAAGAACTCCGACTCGCGCTGTCCTCAACGTACTATTGTATCCCTGTACAGATCATAAGAAAATCAAAGTCGATGTCGATTTCGGTGGCTAAAAAATAGAGAAATCAGTAGAAACTAAGAGAATGCAAAGGAAGCACCATTAGGTCACAGGAAGCGTTTGTGAGGACATAGACAACAGTTGGGAAAACATTGAAATATTTAGAGATTCTAGAGGAAAAAGGAATGTGAGGCATTTTAATGAAAATTAAAAAATACCAATATTAAAAGGCATTTTGTACCTGATCGTTGAAAAAAAAAGCTTGAGGAAGATCCAGAGGGAGAAACACACATCAAACTAAGGACTACAACGCATAAAACAATCATCGGTGTTTGCAAAGGACGCACCTTGCACATACGACTGATGGATGGCATGAAAGCGTTTTAAAAATGATAAAGTCTCCTACATCGACATTATAGTGTCGTTGCCGAAAAGACTGGCAGCACGGCTTGCGACTGAAGCAGAGTCGATATCGTACATGGACCATTCTCCTCTACCAAGTAATCGTAGCTCCATATCGTGGAATTGTTTCAGAGAAAATCGATGGCCAACAGAGACAAAAGTAATGCCTTCCTGCAATTCTCTCATTGGCTGTAAATATTCGCGCATAAACAACGTCTACTCGCAAAGCATAGAACAAGAGATTTGGGCCGAAACCATCTATCGATGAAGATTGTGCCTCACGTAATCAAGCTGCATTTCTAATTGGTCGATCGAATCGACCGTTAAAAGTTTGAAATATCAATTTTGCGCCTCAGCAAAA